CTGAGTCAACCATGCACACTCACACCTTAGGACAATTTAGAGAAGCCAATTAACATAACAGTCATGAAGGTTTTGGGGGCAGGAATTGAACCCAGAACCGTCTCGCTGCAAGGCGACAGTGCTGTCAGGGTTAATGCATTAATCTTCAAAAAGTTAAAAAGAATCCACGACGCATGTCTTTTTAAAATCTCATCTCAGCTTTTTTGTCCCTTTCACTAACCCGTACTCAGCCCCTTTGGCCTTTTTGTGAAGCATTTAAAGGGGATGGAATAAAAAAAAAAATTACGACCTAAGTTTTAAACTGCCTGTTTAAAAAAATATATATTTCTTAGTTAGTACAGTTGCTTAGTTATGTTATCACTAATGCTGTTATTGTTAATTTTGAAGCAGCTTAAGGAAGTTCAATCTCTCAAAGTCAGCTTGGTGTTACCTTTATTCCTTTTAATATTTGGAAGTTGGTCTGAATTGAACTTTTGTTTTTCATCAACAAGGAAATTTTGTGTTCATTTGAATCTCATTGAAGACTTTAGTTAAATATTCTACAGTATGAGCTGAGAACCTCCCTGATATGTTAAATAACAGGATTCTATACATGCAGTTCAAGCCCTGATTAGTGACATATATATTCATAGAAGTGTGTAATTTATTATTTATTTGCTATTCTTGTTTGCCTAAATGTGTAATAAAAGTAATTTCTTTCATAATTCCAAACATTTACTTATTTAAAAATGTTACTTATCTAATTTTCTTTTTAAATTAATAGAAAAAGTAATTAAATTAATCAACTACAAAACAATAATTGAGAGTTGCAGCCCTGGTATCGTTTGTGAAATCTTAAAGAGAATTAAAAATAATAAAACATACTTTAGTATCCAATCTGTAAAATCTCTTTATCCTGACGGTCCTGACTGGTTTTATTTTCTTAGCACAGGATTTAAATTTCTACCAATCTGTCTTTGCCTTAATGCTGTAGATCAAGATTGGTCCATTTGGGTGGAAACGTATCAGAGAAAATCAATATCCATCATCTTACCGCAGTTTATGGCAACAGCCAGTTTGCTCTTTTATACATCCAAAACACATTTGCTACTTTGAATGTAATTCAACAATTGCATCTAAAAAAAAAACACTAAATATACAAAATGATGGTAATTTAAATTCACCAGAAAACAGGGAGATTGAAATCACTCTTTTTTTTAAATCTAAGCATATTTCTCTAACCTTGGTTTGGTTTTTACAAAAACCTAAAGTAAATAACATCAGATTGAGTTGGTAACGTTCAAGCATCACTTTAGGATTAGTTAAAAAGGTAACTAAAAAAGAGACCTGTTAAAATTTTTACTAGATAGCCACTGATAGAAGACCTACTTTGCCGACATTTTCACATAAGCAGTGTTTAAAGATGAATAGCCAGCCGCTGGGCTTCATCATGGCAAAGATTGAGCTATCTCCAACACGGTGTGTGCCAGTCAGGCTGTATATCAAAGCACTGCCCTCCTTTAACAAGTCTGCCTGCCCACATTAGCAGAGAACGCACAAAACAGATGCAGCTGTCAAAGAGGAGAGGAAAGGAGACTGGCTGTTTGATCAGTTTAGAGCTGAACTCCTTCCCAGCTCGTGGGAAACATGCCAGTCAGAAAGGAGGGCTGTTTCTGAAACATCAGCGTAACGAGAGGTTAGATGTGTTCTTATTCATCATCACTGGGAATTAAAACTTCAACTAAGTCCTTCAATCATTTTTCTACATGTATCTCCTTGTAACAGAAATCACGAGAGAGCGTTAATACCTAAAGACTACTCTATCCACAGCAATATTGCACGTTTAGCCTTCATATCCCATTTCCTGTTATTTCATCATTCCCTCCCACGCTGTGTGGAGCTGGAAGTCCACAACTGAGTGTGTTACAGTTCAGGCCAGATAGATTTTAGATTTTAGATAGGCCAAACATCGACAGCAGTAAGGACTGTGGGTTCAGCGATCGGCCTTTAAACATACAAACACCCTTCTCATATTCGCTCACTTGGCGTTAGAGGAGTAAGGTCAAGGATGGATGAAAGCGCCACTATAAAGGAACCTTTATTTTGCTGTTTGTCTGAAACACTCACTCCCACAGGACGCTGTCACTGCCTCACTAAGGACTCCAGTATGCACACATTCAGTAAAAGTATTAACACCCCTTCATTTTATACGACTTTGTCTCGATATACAGTTGCCTCAAGCTTCAATGTGTTCTATTAAGCCTTTATGTGATAGACCAACATGAACAGCTGCATCCATTCCAAGACTTTTTAAAACTTATTTAGCTTAATGAGTTGTTAACATGCTTGAATATAAAAGTTTTTTAAAGGTGGCCATGTGCTATGTGTAAGAAAAAAGTGTTTATGAAGGGAAACAGTGAGTTATTAAAGCTATTTTAAATCAAAATAAGGGTGAGCAAGGAGGCATACAGGATGAAGATGGAAGGAAAGCTCCAGCAGAACAATATCAGAGATATTTGGTCAGGGATGAAGGAGATCACGGGCTTCAATCAGAAGGATGGAAGTCTGGACAGAACCAATGAACTGAACACATTCTTCAACAGGTTCAATTCATAACAAGCTCAGCATCCTTTTCTTTCCTGCCCACAGTTACATGAACATCCTGCCCTCCTCTGCCACTGAATCTCCTGCTTCTATTAGTTTGTCAGTCAGATCAGAGGATGGTGCTGCTCCCTCCACCTTTCACCCAGAAGTCAAATAAAGAGGTAACTGGAGAGACTGAATCAAAATAAGTCATCAGGCCCTGAAGGTGTCAATCCCAGAGTCCTGAATGCCTGTGCAGAGCATCTCTTCACCCTTAAGGCCAATTTATACTTCTGACGCATAGCCTCTGCAACCGTCATATCTGTCTCTGTGCCTCAAGTGGAAGTACGCAGACAAAAAGCAGCTGTGATTGGTCCTTGGTATGCCTTTCCGTCCTTCTCGATTCAATGCCGGGTTACGCCATTTTTAAAAACCAAGGAGAAATAACAACAATGGATAACCACGGTTGGGAAGTACAAACACTTGTACGATGCCTCAGACATTGTTTTGGAAAATAAACACAATTATGTGTTCCAATCATTTGTCCTGATAGTGTTTGCTTAATCCCTTTGGAGCCTGTAAAGATTTTTTGCACCAGGCACGATCAACAGACACAAACATCTATGTTCGCTGTCAGCATCTGCTGGCAGTGCTTACTTGTATGTCCTTAAACCTGGCAGCTTCAGAGGCTTTAGCTCTAGCTTCAATGAACAATGTTCTATCCCTCAAACTAATCCTCTTTTGTTCACTTCTCAGCAATATTGCACCCTTGTCACATCTCATTACAGCAAATGTACAAAACATTTCAGTTTACTAACAAATTAAGCAAAACCAGTGGAGTAAAACAAAAGAATAAAATAAAAAAGCAAACAGAGCACCATCATTTAACCAGAAAGCCATTGCATTCAACCAGGGTGGGGTACTAGAAGAGCAACTCTTTAGCCATAACACACTACTGGACATTTTTTAAACCCTTATATTTCCATCCCAGACCTATATGCTATGCTCCCTGGTGTAGCTTTCTGTTCACTTATGTTCTCTAACAAATATCCATCATTTACAAACTAGGTGACATCTGAACGAAACTGACTAACATGTGAGACCATGTCTGGGTCAGATCCTATAAGACTTTAGGGCTGCAATCATTATAATACATTTTGTTTGTTTCTCTACTAAGGTTCTGCACATAGCCTGGATAACATAAGGCATTATTTATGCCACAGCCCACCAGAGACTTGTTTGGAAAATGGCCTGAGGTACAGAGCAGAAAATGTTTTACCTAACAGCACTTGTGAAATGCTGTTTACTGTAAATGGGGTTTATTGTTGTGATTGCTGTTTAGAACGTACCGCTGTCTTTACCCAGTAACTTTGTGAAACAGAGATTGTTTTTTTTCGCGTTAAATAAATCATGAATACAACTAAAGGGTTTAAAATAGACATTCTTATCACAGGTTTTTTTCACTTTTAGTTGGAATTCATTCTTAGATCGTTGTTTCACTGAATATATCTACAGACTGTTTACATTTTTGGGAAAAGAGCAAAACCCAAAAACTCTTTGAAATTCAACTAATAAAGCTAATCAACATATATGTACTCTGTACTTCTGGTTTGTACCAGACCTGGAGAAGGTGGACACTTAAACTTGAAGAGTAAAACAACAAAACCTTCATCATAAAACAATTTTTGAGGTTAAATCTTGGATTATGAGCTAAAACAAGCTGCAAATAAATAGTATACCCCCAGCCAAATAAATTAACATCTACAGGGAATCTAAAACTTTTCAGCTCTATCTCCAATATTCACAAGAAATCAACCCAATCCTTCTGAAGAATAACCAGCTGTATAGCAGTGGAAACGTTATTAAAGCAGAAGCCAGGGATTAAAGATCTAACTAGCCTCATATAATCTTAGCAATGCCAGGATTTATGTGGGATTATAATGCATGAGAAACACAGAGTTCACAGAGGGAGGTCTAGGCTGTGATCAGACAGGATTGAGCTCCTTCTCCAACACTTTTCTTACTTTTAAACCCACAGCAGAGGAGCTGTGGAGAAAAATCCACAACAATAAATGAAAAGCCAGCCAGAGGAGTCATTCCCCATCACTGATAGGAAAACAGAGGGGTACTGTTATGCTCTACTGCCTTCTTCTGTTCACCACCATCATTACATTCAAAAGCCCATGAAATTAAATTTTAATGTCATCTTCATTTTAGATAGAATAGAAAATAAAAAGAAGTCAAAAGAGTTATAAGTATTCAGAGAACAAAATAAGCACTAATAACATGATATATATAAAGCTCACAGACAATAAACAGTTTTTTGGTTTTTTTTTTGCAGGATTATGATGGCTGATTTTAAGTAGATCCATTTTAACCAACATCACCGGAAAAGAGAGAGGAAGCAGGTCATAAGGTCACAGTCTCGGAGTGCTTACCGTACATCGTCCCGCCACACACATGTCCGTTTCATTCTGTCCACATGGAGTCCCATCAATCACCCTCTCTGACTGACGCACATAGAATCTGAAGCCAGTGGCCCGGCAGTTTAGCTCACAGTGCTGCCCCTCAGGAACTGAAAGGAGACCAAGAAGCATGGATCATTTATGTGCTTTGAGATCAAAGATGGTTTCAGGAAATGTCTTAACAAAAAAACAAAACAAAAAAAACTGTGAATAAATCAAACTGTATGACTGGGAACATTACAGTATATAAGTATCGATTTTGTTGTGTTTATTCTTTTCTCATGGGGAGAGAGGTTAATAAAAAATGCTGTGTTTTATAGAAAGCAATGTAAAAAAAATTTAACTTATTCCTTAAACTTTATAAAAAGAGATAAATGTGCAAAAGAAATAATTTACAATATCCTCAATGGCCAGTTTGATTTTAATGACTGTAACTATTGTTCACAATAATCATCTTCATTGTGTTCTGACATATTACAACCCCACACTTTAACGTATTTTCGTTTCGACTATTCATTACTGGTGAAATTTGGAAAGTGGATATATTATTTCCTGAAATCCTGAAAAAGTTGGCTATTTACTTTGCTTATCTAATTTTAATCTGACGCCATCATCTAAAATGTAAACAATCACCATTTCAGTACACCCAATCAGTATGGAAAGTCATTTATTTCAATATTACTGAAAGCAAAGAACATGTTTACAAAAAGCAGATTTGTAGAAAATGCTTTTTAAAGATTGGAACTTTGAAATACTTCTCATTCACTGAAAAAGGCCAAAATTTAAAGTTATATTTTTACAGCTTGATGTTTTTCCAGATTTTATTTATCTATTTTTTATTCACTTTTACCGATTTAATTTTTTTATTTTATTTTTTTTTTTACAGATTGTATTTTCTCAATTGTTTTTCTTTTTGGGGGGAAACCGAGTCTGTCAAGGTTGGGTTTGGAGGACCCAAATGCAGAGGCAGAGAGGCTGAGGAGATTTCTAGGAGTTTTAATGGGGCAAGAAGAGTAAACAAAGGCAGGAATTAAAAAATCCAGCTAATAATGAAAAGCAAACCAGAACTATGGAGACATCTGGGGAAACCAAACACGAGGAGCCAGGGAGAGACGAGGTAGGTGGACAACAGCCTGGGAGGACAGCAAAGACAAGGAACTAACAAAGAGTGAGAGCAGAGGGAGAGTATATATAGCAGACTGAGACAAAGGGAGGGCTAACGAGCTGACAAGGAGCAGCTGTGAGAGGAGACAACGAGGGAGCCAAGGGGAAAGGAACACACAGACACACAGGAGGGCAACAGAGGACAACAGAAAAACATAACTACCATAAATCTAGAAATTACAACAAAACGGGAATTAAACCAATAAATCTAGGAAACATGGAGTAAAGTAAAGCACAACAGAAACAAGACCATGACTGAGTCTTGCAAATTGCATTAGTTTCCCTCATCCTCTTTCAATGTTATAAATGTTAACGACAGTATTTCTATTGACTGATACACAGACCACCCAGAAACACAGAGGGTGAAATCTTTAAACTGGGAATTGAAAACTCAGTTTCCCCTAAAATGACCAATGGGGAGCAAACAGCAGTGATCATCTGTCCAGACGGTAAGTTAACTGAGTTCACTATAAAGTTCACTATATAGTCCCTCTATATAGTGATTGAGGGATTTAGGGGTTAGAGCGGACGTTTGGGCATGGTAAGCTTATATGAGCTATGAGAACAGCAACTTTTAAAAAGAGCGTGCACGAGGAGAAATGTGCTTGTGCATGCTCTCGCACGCGTTTAATAGACATTCTCTCTCGGGAGCATTTACAGGAATGTGCATTTACTTCTTTTTTTTTTACTGGAGAGGGCGGGTCTTTTAAAAAATTCGCAAAATTCCTCCATAATAACTTAAATATCTGCCCAGAAGCAGCTCAAAATGCATTTGGAGGAGCTGCAGAGATCCACGGCTCAGGTTGGAGAATCAGGGTGCCTGACTTCAACTATGCACTCCAAACATGCTAGACTCTTAAAAAAAGTCTTTTTTCTCAGATTTTTCTTTTTATTTGTTCAATTTTTATTTTTCAAAGCTTTTTAAAATAAAAATGCTCTTTACGGCTTTTTATTCTTATTTTCGCAATCTCTTAATTCCAAGCCTGTTACAAAAACTTGCTCTTGAACAGAAAAATGTTGTTGCAGGTGTTCAGGCAGACAAACCGAAATCTGTCTTTGCCCTTCACTCCAGAGGAAAGCTGCCCCCACAAGTGAAGAGAACTGATCTGACACAATTTCAAAAGAATGCAATTTAGAAAAGTCAATCTGAGAAAGAGGAATTTGAAAAAAAGTGAAAAGTAAAACTTAAGTAACATTTAAATTTTTAACAATCAAATTTAAGTTAGATATAATAAAAATTAAATAATTACATAATTATGTAAAAAATGATTTCCATGCTGTTTGTTTGCAGTTATTATGGAAGAAAGTTTACTCCATAAGGCGAGCACTGAGCCTTGCTTTTGCTGATCACAGCGTATCACTCTTACTGTAGGTATTAAACCTACCTTCGTTAAAAGGCTCCCACTTGTAGAGTCTGCCCATAAAGGGCTGGTTGTTGTAGGAAGAACACTGCAGCGATCTGATGTCTTTACTGGGTGCAGGACAATCCTGTGGAGGAACAAGAGAAAATGCAAACAAGCACTTAGTTAAGATGAAGATGTCTGCCTAAACATGTAAAAACCATCAGCAAAAACTAACAGCCTCAGTGCCACGCTCTGACAGATGGTTCAGCCTTCAGCCATTTTAGCGGAACCAGACCTCCCTGAAGTCTCTGAACAATCCTCTATTCAGCTTTCGCTCTGATCCAACAAACATGTCATCATTCAACAAAGAGAAAACTGAGACATTGTTCACTCATTTAAATACACAGAGGTTTTGAGACTGACTGGAAATCGACTTTTCACAGATGGCTGCTTCGTCTTTTAGCAAGGTTTCTCTGCTAGTTTATTAATGAACAATTCTCAAGTCAGCCCCAAACCGTTTGGCCTGATTGTTTTTTTCTGTTTCTTATGATTCCATAGACTGAAGAAAGACTAGAGGACAATCTAGATAACAATATGTCCTGTCCAGGGTGAACGTAACATCGTTGCCCTGAATGCCTACACTGTAAGATAATGAAAAGTGTGATTAACTCAACACATTCAATACATTAACTCAATACATTCTGTCATCTCTGCAATACTGTATAAGCCCAATATTCTCATGTGCAACACCGCAATCTCTGTGCAAATATATTTTTCTTCTATAACTATACACACTGCAAAAACGAGTTAGAAATAAGTACAAATTTCTTAAATTAAGTGTTTTCACCCTTAATTTGAGTAGGTAAATTAGATAGTTTGCCAATGGAATGAGCATTTTTACTCTTAAAATAAGATAATTAGATAATATGCACTTGAAATAAGAGAATTCAACTGTGTTTTCTTATTTTAAATGTAAATTGTCTTGTTCCATTGGCAAAATGTATCTTTTTACCTACTCAATTCAAGAACAAATGCACTTATTTTTAGAAAAAATGACTTATCTAGATTTAGATTTTTTGCAGTGCAGTCCTTTTTTTTAATCATATTTATTTTCTTTTTATTGCATTATTGGCCCTCACTGTTTTGTTTTATATTGTTTTGTACCCTTGACGAACAATGACAAATAAAGACTTCAGATTCTTCTGATTCTACGCATTTAAAGTGGATTCCACTTCAATTTCAAATCAATTTATTTCTATGGCGCCAATTCACAACACATGTCATCTCAAGGCACTTTACAGTTCACCAGATCATCCAGTCAAATTGATTCAAAGTTTTCTATCTAAGGAAAACCAGCTGATTGCATCGACTCATTGCCTAGAATGCATCCCTTACACTAAGCACTAGCTTTAAATGCAGTTAAACTTTCCTAGTTGAACAGTGTCCAGCTGGTCTTTACCATCTCAAGGCATTACACTGGAAAAACGATCTAGAAATAAGTAAAAATTTCTCAAAATAAGTGAATTTACCCTTAATTTGAGTAGGTAAATCAGATGATTTGCCATTTGAATAAGTATTTTTACTCTTAGAAAAAGGTATTTAGATAAAATGCACTTGAAATAAGACAATGTAATTGTGTTTTCTTATTTTAAATGTAAATGTTCTTGTTCCATTGGCAAAATATGTCTTTTACCTTCTAAATTCAAGAACAAATGCAATTATTTTAAGAAATAATGACTTATCTAGATTTAGATTTTTCCAGTGTAGATCGGTCGTTCAGGTGCTGCTTGTAAGTTTTCAGAGCAAGAAAAGTTTCCGTATTTGTTGTTGTTGTTATGGTTGTAACAGTGGCTGTATTAGCTATGGAGAACCCAAAGGTTCACAAGCAGAGATTTCATCCCTCCAACTACTTAAGTTTCAGTTCAGAGGATACAGAACACATTTATTTTACTCTGAGTGTGATACACAGATCTAACAGAAAATATCCAGTTCATGTAGTAATGGCCAATGGTGGGTTAGCACAATAATAATAATCCCTTGAACTATTCTGCTCATATGCGTATGTATAAAAAACCTCTATTATCTGAATAATAGGTTTAGCTACCAACTGTAGTTCAGCAAAGTATCATCTATATAATAATGAGGTGTGAAGTGTTAGGGTTATTGTAACCAGCCAACTGGTTGGCAGTGTCCATCTCATCAGAACCATTTTAAACCGTATCTGCTTTATTATGCACTAGTTTGAGTTGGTCAGTCAGATAAATACAATTGTTTGTGGGTATAAATACTTTTGAAAAACCCGTATCTGTTTTACACTTGATCATTACAAAGGTAATGTCAACACCAGAAAAACAGTTAACAGTTTTCTGTTGTTTTTTTGATGATACACTAATATACTCCTGAATTCAAGCCACAGGATGTTTTGTGTCTAGAAACGTATTTTTCTGGCAGGTCTTTCCTCTGGATTTTTAAAAACCCTAATAATAATAATAATAATAATAATAATAATAATAATAATAATAATAATAATGATAATAATTAAAAAATAAAACATTTTTAACTGTCAAATGTTCTAAAAGGTGACCAGCAGACTTTAAAGAACCAAATAATGCTGCAGTATAAGTGGGCTCCTGTTGCTATACCTATATCTCTTGCTATTGCAAGAGAGCAGACTTTCATACGTTACTGTTGCAGATCCTGTAGTGAGCATGCTCCCCCGTACAGTGGGAGGAAGGCAGTGGGCTGTAGGGTCTCTCTTTATGCAGCTGGTGGCTGGGGGTCGGGCTGCCGGCCTGGACCCCAGCCTGGTTAGCTGAGGCAGGCTGGTAGAGGGGGGCCCAGACTTGATTGTGCCTGGAATGGTGTGTCCTGGGATGCACATACTGCCTGCTAAAGGGATGAAGCTTATTGGGAGTATCGAGGTTGTTGTGTCCCCTAGAATTGGGCTGGAAGGAAGTGGCTGCAGCCGAGCGTCTGTGTCTGTGGAGGCGAGGGGAATCTGACTCTCGGGCTGAATCCACTTGGTGTGAAGCAATATGAGGCGCTCGTCCGTAGCCATAGTTTCCTGGGACGATGTGGCTGATCCTCCTGTAAGCACAAATGTAGATTGTAAAGCAAACACCAGTACTAAGTCCCTGCTAAAAATCTAGAGTGCTCTTTCTTTTTTTGTACATGGAGTTCAACATACCCCCCCACTCCAACCCTCAGCTGTCAGATTATTTGTTGAATGGTGAACACAACAGGAAGGAGGTCACAAAGCTGCCAAACACGGGCCAAGCTTTTGATTGTAACTGTGAAAGACTGGCTTTGCACTGGAAGGAAGTCAGATGACCCCCAGCGATGGCACCAGAGTCACTTCTAGTCCAGGCTGCTAAGCAACAGGACACATCTCAGCAAAGACACGAGCTTCAAAACGCCAACGGCTAAAAGAGCTTGACGTTTCAGACAGCTTGCTTAGAGTAGATGGAAAAGGGAAGTTAAAGAAAAGAAAACTTTCTAAGATAATTAATATTTGATATTCTCAGAAGCTGTCACTGATAGAGCTAAGAGAGAGAGAGAAAATCATAGACATATCTTATTTATCTGATCTATTAAGATCCAAGTATGAGCGGAAAATTGCCTCTGCAAACAAAAACATCCTCGTACGAAGAGCAGCCATGTTGCTGGTGATCTACTAAGTTAGCTTGTTTAAATGAAATCAGGTATTAAAGCGGTGCAGGACCCTTTTTAAATGAGTTTTGGAGAAAAGGACGGCTTTAAAAGAAAAACAAATCATAATTAGGGCCGCAACTAACAATTATTTAGTTAATCGATCTGTTGATTATTTTTAAGATTGATTAATCGATTAAAGATTTTTTATACAGATTTTAAACTGGGTGAAGCAATCCACTTAAAGGATAACACAGGGTTTTTTAAATTGGCCCCTTGATTTTTTTTTTATGTTATGACATCATGTTCTACTCACCCATATTAGTTTTGTGTCATTTGGAGCTGTTCCGCAGATATTCCGTCAGCCAAGTAACGTCTTCCTATGGGCACCGAGTTGAAGGCACAAACTAAACCGTTCATAATTTATTATTTATGATACGCCAGCGTTAATAACATGTAGGCCAATCACTGTCCCCCAGAAATCCGCGGTTATATTTTTTATATTTATATTTTCTAAAAACAAAGCAGAGCTATGCCACAATATTCAAGTCAAGATATTTTACACTTACACTATATTGCCAAAAGTATTTGCTCACCCATCCAAATTATTGGAATCAGGTGTTCCAATCACTTCCATGGCCACAGGTGTATAAATTCAAGCACCTAGGCATGCAGACTGTTTTTACAAACATTTGTGAAAGAATGGGTCGCTCTCAGGAGCTCAGTGAATTCCAGCGTGGAACTGTGATAGGATGCCACCTGTGCAACAAATCCAGTCGTGAAATTTCCTCGCTCCTAAATATTCCACAGTCAACTGTCAGCTGTATTATAAGAAAATGGAAGTGTTTGGGAACGACAGCAACTCAGCCACGAAGTGGTAGGCCACGTAAACTGACGGAGCGGGGTCAGCGGATGCTGACGCGCATAGTGCGAAGAGGTCGCCAACTTTCTGCAGAGTCAATCACTACAGACCTCCAAACTTCATGTGGCCTTCAGATTAGCTCAAGAACAGTGCGCAGAGAGCTTCATGGAATGGGTTTCCATGGTCGAGCAGCTGCATCCAAGCCATACATCACCAAGTGCAATGCAAAGCGTCGGATGCGGTGGTGTAAAGCACGCCGCCACTGGACTCTAGAGCAGTGGAGACGCGTTCTCTGGAGTGACGAATCGCGCTTCTCCATCTGGCAATCTGATGGACGGGTCTGGGTTTGGCGGTTGCCAGGAGAACGGTACTTGTCTGACTGCATTGTGCCAAGTGTAAAGTTTGGTGGAGGGGGGATTATGGTGTGGGGTTGTTTTTCAGGAGCTGGGCTTGGCCCCTTAGTTCCAGTGAAAGGAACTCTGAATGCTTCAGCATACCAAGACATTTTGGACAATTCCATGCTCCCAACTTTGTGGGAACAGTTTGGAGCTGGCCCCTTCCTCTTCCAACATGACTGTGCACCAGTGCACAAAGCAAGGTCCATAAAGACATGGATGACAGAGTCTGGTGTGGATGAACTTGACTGGCCTGCACAGAGTCCTGACCTCAACCCGATAGAACACCTTTGGGATGAATTAGAGCGGAGACTGAGAGCCAGGCCTTCTCGTCCAACATCAGTGTGCGACCTCACAAATGCGCTTCTGGAAGAATGGTCAAAAATTCCCATAAACACACTCCTAAACCTTGTGGACAGCCTTCCCAGAAGAGTTGAAGCTGTTCTAGCTGCAAAGGGTGGACCGACGTCATATTGAACCCTATGGATTAGGAACGGGATGTCACTTAAGCTCATATGTGAGTCAAGGCAGGTGAGCAAATACTTTTGGCAATATAGTGTATACTGCACACCCATTTGTCTGGACTATATAAAAAACTCATTCAAACATAAATGTGTTATTCAATAAAGTGAGGGTGAACTCTAATTATTTCTGCATTTCAAAAATGGTATTACTGGACAGATGATATGCCTACTATTGTGTATTACCAATAAAGTGGATCTCTCAATTAAAGCTGATTAAAGCTCTACATGCTCGGGTCATTTCAGATGGATGTCTTCCTCTTTATAGGTCTGCAGGGAAACTTTCACTTTTCCCATTCTTCCATAAAATGTTTAAACCTGGGATCAACCAGGCTCTTGAGTTAAATTTTTACTGTAGATCTGTGATCTGACCGGTGTTTACTCTGCTGAATGATAGCTGGAGAAAGGCACCAGACCCCCTGTCACTCTGCAGGAATAAGTGATTATAGACAACAGATGGAGAAGTTAACAGTGCTTTGAACTTCTTCACAATTTTCTCAAAGTCTGACCTTTACTAAAAGCTGTATCTCTGAAAAGATTTAAATGCACAGAAGGAATTTATTACATTTTTAGGTGGCATTGATCTGAAGGCAGTTGTCTTTATCTTTACTTGATTTATTTTTCAATATAAACAAGGTTAATAAAGATTAGATTAGTATTTTTATCTTTAAAACTATGTCACAAATGGCATAAATTTCCAACTTTTATGCTGGTTGCAGAAATCTGTTCATCTCTCATTCATTTAGGGCAGGTGTGTGCTAAAAGAGAAAAAACAAAAACAAACACACCGAAAAGTGGGCCCTGGGGATCAGTGTTGAAGGACCCCTGATTTTCTTTATTAAAGAAGAACTATTTTCTTCCATTCCATTTATACATGTAAACATAACTTGAATTGTTTAGCTACCTGCGTTGGCCTAGCCTGCTCTGTTTCTCCCTCCTTGCCTCTCCCCCGCTGCTTGTGTTGAAGGCTCTGACTCCACTGTGCCGTGGAGCGGCAGCGGGCTTCAAAGCTGAGATGACACGGCCTGGTTGCTGGGGCAGAACGGCAGCTCCTCTGGAGAGGAACTGAGTGTAAACCGGCAGACAGGGCCTCATCTGTTCCTGTACTCCTTTCCCACATGTCCGGGAGCAGGCTGACCAGGGGCCCCAGGTGCCCCAGGCACCCCGAATTTCCCCATACGATGCCCTTAACTCCTGTTGAGACTTTGTCCGCTGAGGGACCTGTATGGAGGCAACAAAACTGAAGATTAGTGGTTGCAGCTAGATGCGGGAAAGTGGAACAGCACCATTTGATGTGGAGGCCAAGTACTGATGGGAAGCATTCATCAACAGCTCTTTAATCTCTGCAGATCTCTCACTGGAAAACAGCTCAAGTCAGTGACCTCATCTCCTCACCATGAATATCCAGATCTTCCGCCCATCTACCTCTGTTCATGAAGCAGACCTCTGTTCACTGTAATAAAACCCTGATTTGCCTGGGTATCCAGCATCTGTTAGTGGCCGATCCCTGATTGGCTACCTGAATAGCTCGCTGTTGACTCTAGTCTTCTATTCAACTGAGCCAACAGTGATCACTGCGCTCACTGTTTGAGCAACCCTGTGCCAAACCAGCATTCTGAGTAGAAATCTTGCTTTTAAGAAGCACTTTGTCTCTTTTTACATCCCCCTCCCTGGGTAAATACATGGCCACAGAAAAAACTCAGCTACTGGTGACTTTTATTGGATGGAGAGAGAGCATGCCAGAGCAGCAGGGGGAGTTGGCAGTGAGCTCCTCGGGTGTCAGTCAGCTCGGGTAACCATTGAGCAGGACCTCAAAACTCCCCGCCCCAGGCTTCTTTACTGCTTCAACTCAATGCCACTGTCATCTCCGGGTCAGCCTCAGGTCACACAGCTGGACTCTGAGGGGAAGCTCATGGAGTTTCCTCACAAAAACTGCTTTCCAACAGCTAACTGAAGGGGCTATCCACACGTCACAGAGATACAAACCCGGACTTCTTCCATGTTCATCTGGTTCCTGGAGGGTTCAAGAAATGGTTTGCTGACAGCCAATATCCGCCTTCTCTGTTTCACTACTCCTCACCACAAGATCAAAGGTTATGAACTGAATGAGTTTTTCCCAGTAGGTACTCTTATAGAGAGTAAATGTGAGACAATTATTTCAAAGGTAGCATCATATGCTGCTGCATTCAATATAACTCAAAATGTAATTTATTTGAGCCATTTGCTTCAAAAAGGGATTGAATACACAGAGTGTGATATATTTCAAGTGTCCTGTATTTAGAGGTGGATAATCCAGGTAGAGAAAGTAAAAACTCTTACTATTTTCCTTAATACTGTTCACTTAACCAGGGTGATTATATACAGTGTCAATGTTTTAAGGCTGTTGTGGAAAGTGTTCTCAAAAGGCCACCAAGTGGCACAAGCCTTCCATGTCAAGCTTCTAGCCAATCACAGCAGCAGAATCAGCTGAGACACATCACATTCTTGATTTGTTTCATAACTAGCACTGATGAATCAAACTTTTACCAAAATCTGGTCAGGAGGAATGAACAAACATCTTTCCTATCCACAAAGAAAAGCATGTACATTTGTTCGTTTGTTAAAAAGAAATGGAGGGTATTCCATCTAAAACCAGCGCAGCCATCTTTGTTTTACTTCAGCCTTTCGCTCCTGGTTGACATGTTGGAATCATACATGTCACTTCATTGCTCTGAAACATTTCTCTATCGAGGCTAATGCATATGTTAGTTTCTGGCTAGATGTATTTTAAGGAGTTTGTGAATTCAAAAATCTCACAACAATTCGTCTTACTTGCAAGGTGATTATTATCCAGCTACTTTTTATTATTGTTTTACTACCATTGACCTTCTGAGGGATGTGTCTTTGAATTTTGTAATAAAGAAACCCGGTACTTGATTGGGAGTCCTTTTACCTGAGTTGCTGGATTACAGCAGAGTGCCAGTGCTGATGTGTTAGAGAAGCCTGGGTCTCTTTACCTGCAGCCTTTAGCTTATTTGGCTCTAATGTCTAACCTTCACTTTGAGAAAACCCCATAAATGTATGATTCACTGCAGGGATTAGATCAGGCAAAATGTGTAGGCCAAACAGACTTGGTGATACCATGGTTATTAAACCAGGTACTGGTACTTTTGGCAGTGGGGCTCAGTAATCATTCCAGCTGGAACATAAAAGCAGCCTCTTCATAAAGCTTGTCAGGAGAGGGAAGCATAAAGTGCACTACAATTTCCAGGTAGATGGCTGCGCTACAGCGGACCAGCACCAGAAGATGACATGGCTTCCCCAATCATTAGCGCCTCTCCAGACTTCTCATTTCCACTGTTCCTGGGACTCTTGGAGTTTGGTGTTAAAATCAAATGCTGAATTCATCTTCATCTAAAAGCAGGAAATCAAGCCAGGATCCAGTGAAGTCCAGATGAGACTAAGCTGTTGAGTGGGATATGCTTTGCATTCTTATATGTCTGTTGTCACACATTTAACTTGTGCCCATTTGTTAAACACACTTTTTTTCCTTCCACTCAGCCTGCTTAGCAATGAGCTTTGGAGATTTGTCCTCACTGTAGAGCAGCTAGTGACTGTTCGCTGTCTTCCTAATGGCTGTAGAGGTCATAGAATAGCTAAGACTATTTTTCACTGTATCAATTGAATTAATTTTATGCAATATAATTGTCTAAAACACATTAATTTTTTTCAGTGTAAGGTGGTAAAAAGAAATCATTACAGTATAAGGTCATTCTCCCTGGATCCTGCAATTTATTGTCCTGTAAGTTTCAAACTTCTCTCACCTTCCTGTGATCTGCTGTTTGTTGACACTGCAGGAGTTGTGACCAAAGCAGTACCAGATATAGTCTGCAGACAAAAGAGAGAAGTAATCACATTATAAATGCTCTATAATGACCCTGTGTAATGCAGCAGAATCAATATGATGCGAAGAGGAAATGAAATCGAAAGCAAAACAGAAAGCAAGTAAGAAAATTACCTGACAGTCCAAAACCTGACTTCTAGCATGGTGGCGCCTTCCACAGAGTTGGACACTGAGTGCAAAAGGAGAAATTGTGGTGCCATCTAGTTCATGTTATATGTTAAAGAAAACCTTTTAAATGTCTGCACTTATCGTTATCTCCTCTTTTTTCTTCAACTAAATCATTCAGCCTGAACACAAACCATCAGAGTCTGGCAGAAAGTCTTTAAGTCTTCCACCCACTTGACCATGTGAGTTGACCTGTGACCTCTTTGGCTCCTAATGAGGGAACTCCTCATTAGGACTCCCCCCACCCCCACCCCCCATCCTTTCTAGCAAACATCAGTTCTGAAATCAAGCTGGAAAAAGAATTTCTGAACCCAGATCATTTAACTCTGCCTTGATTTAAACGTTTCACTAAATACTAGACTACTTAACAAGACCTGGATATATTAATAATAGATGAGTACATGTTTTCTTTAAATTAAAAGTTTTAAAAAGTGGAAAAAACCTATATTTGTCCAAAAAAATAAGCAGTTACTAGAATTTAAATCAAATTTACCTGCAGCTTTTGTATGTCTGCTGTTTATACTGGTGTATCGTTTCCAATACGTGCAGGTATCCTCATGGTGGAAGCATTAATCCGGAAAAAACTGCAGGTTTTCCACCTGAAATCCTGGTGCAGATCCATGTGACCCAATGAAGCCGTGGTGAGAGTTCTGGAACAACTGGATCAATCAGACAGCAGGCTCTGGGTGCAGCTTTTCAGCGAGGCTCCAGCGGTTCTGTTTTTTATGCACAAACACAAGGACTGTAACAGTGAGCTGAAACTGACACGGCAGAAGTAAACAGCCTGTGCTGCGCCCCCCTGCCTCAGCCAGGCTGCTCCACTGGGTTCTTTGAGCTGTCATGTAAAAAATACGGAGGTGGGAGTCTCCTGTTGCTCTTTTTTTTTTTTTTCCCCCAGAGTGAGCACTTGGATTTGTCTGAGCGTGAAGGAGAAACTCAGTAGTTAAGGGTTTTCAGCTGCTTGGCCACATCCACACTCTGACACTCCCTGCTCCACTTTATGATGACACATTTGAGCAACTATCAAACAGGCTGCATTGAGCATTATTGGGTTTCCTTTTTTCTGTTTTGCTCAAACGCTCAGCCAGTATGTTCAAAAACACTTGTATTACAGTGCCTTGGAAAAGACCACAGTACCTGTTGAACTTTTTCATTATTTATTACAGTATCATCAAAATAGCAATGCAGTGCCCAACTGTGAAGTGGGAGAAAATTGAAACATGCTTTTTGATTTGGTGGGAGGGGGGGATAAAAATCTGAAAAGTGTGGAGTACATTGTTTATTCAGCCTGCAAGTAAACATTTTCAAAAACAAAAATCTAAGAAAGGCATATTTCTTCAAATAAAATAATTTTCTCGTGATTTGAGCAGGTAAGATGATTTGGCAATTGAGTACAATTTTTATTGACATTATTAAATAACAAAAAGCAACTCTGTTATATGAAGTCCATGATATTTAATCATCATAGTTTAAGGCAAAACATGCTCAATCCATTAGGGACTTATATTATTTCTCTTCTCAGATTAAAGGCAAATATACTTAGTTTAAGAAAATTGTAGTTTTTTTGTAGTTAATTTAGACCGTTTTTTCCCCATTGTAGAGTCACCTATAAACCTTTAGAGGGTTTAGCATTATGCTATCACCACCATGTTTCACAGTTGTGATGTATTAGACCCTGCAAGGCTGCCAGCCATTGAGTGGCTAAACCAAAATAGCAGAAGATGCCTCAGTAGTGTGCAGGATGTTTTGTTTTCCAACTGACGGACTATTCACATCACGGCTAAGGAGAAGAAAATGTAACATTTTGTTTGTATTTTTCGATTGGAATAGTAGAGGATTTCTGTCCACCAGCAAAATGCAAGCTAATTTTAGCTTAAATATTTGCTGCAGGTGTTCAACAGCTATGAAGACTAACCAAGATTTTGCCTGCAATTTTTAAGGCTATATTTCCATAGTCAGGTCTCTTCATCTGCAGAAACAGAGATAAAAATATATATATTAAGAAATTGTTTTAAACGTTATACATGTGGACATTGTTTGGGATGGATGGATGGATGGATGGATGGATGGATGGATGGATGGATGGATGGATGGATGGATGGATGGATGATGGATGGATGGATGGATGGATGGATGGATGATGGATGGATGGATGGATGGATGGATGGATGATGGATGGATGGATGGATGGATGATGGATGGATGGATGGATGGATGATGGATGGATGGATGGATGGATGGATGGATGGATGGATGATGGATCGATGGATGGATGGATGATGGATGGATGATGGATGGATGATGATGGATGGATGGATGATGGATCGATGGATGGATGGATTGATGGATGGATGGATGGATGGATGGATGATGGATCGATGGATGGATGGATTGATGGATGGATGGATGGATGATGGATCGATGGATGGATGGATGGATGGATGGATGGATGGATGATGGATGGATGGATGGATGGATGGATGGATGGATGATGGATGGATGGATGGATGGATGATGGATGGATGGATGGATGGATGGATGGATGATGGATGGATGGATGGATGGATGGATGATGGATGGATGGATGGATGGATGATGGATGGATGGATGGATGATGGATGGATGGATGGATGGATGGATGGATGGATGGATGGATGGATGATGGATGGATGGATGGATGGATGGATGGATGGATGGATGATGGATGGATGGATGGATGGATGGATGATGGATGGATGGATGGATGGATGGATGGATGGATGGATGATGGATGATGGATGGATGGATGGATGGATGGATGATGGATGGATGGATGGATGGATGGATGGATGGATGGATGGATGGATGGATGGATGGATGGATGGATGATGGATGGATGATGGATGGATGGATGGATGGATGGATGGATGGATGGATGGATGGATGGATGGATGGATGGATGGATGGATGATGGATGGATGGATGGATGGATGGATGATGATGGATGGATGGATGGATGGATGGATGGATGGATGGATGGATGGATGGATGGATGGATGGATGGATGGATGGATGGATGGATGGATGGATGGATGGATGGATGGATGGATGGATGGATGGATGGATGGATGATGGATGGATGGATGGATGATGGATGGATGGATGGATGGATGATGGATGGATGGATGGATGGATGGATGGATGGATGGATGGATGGATGATGGATGGATGATGGATGGATGGATGGATGGATGGATGGATGGATGGATGGATGGATGGATGATGGATGGATGGGATATTTATCATCACATTCAGTAACTATGTTTACATTTAATGACTACGTGCACAATTACATCACATCCTCACTAAGCCAACAACAGAAACCTGATGCAGTGACCCGTTTCTAACCTGACGAGGGCGCCAAACAGGCAGTTTTAGACAAAAGAGAAAAAAGCATTAAAAAATGTGCAGTAAATTGTCAAATTAATACCAGGGACATGTAAACAGCTCTATAAGACATCAGTTCATACAGTTTATTAAAAAAAAGTTTGAGTTTTTATTTTTTCTCTGTTTTATTTTCCTATTATTAAATATTTTCATTCTTCAAAGGCTTGTAGTTATAGTCTGTGCAAAGATTGTTAGAGCATTGCATGGATGTCAGAGAAATTTGGTAAGAGTAAAAAAAACACATGGAAGCAGTTTGTGAACAGGACCAGGGACAGCTGTCATGGACAGTTTTCACTGTCAAAGATCTACAGCAATCGTTTCCATCCAAGTCATAATAAAAGCCATATGCTTGGTTGATATGCTGTGTTAAGATGAATTCCATGTCCCGCTGATGTTTCCTGTAGAAGTGCTGCATCCTAAAAACAATCCCATCTTACACACCCTCCCAGTCGAATGGAACCAACATCAAAAAGGAAAACCTGAGGGTATGATCCAATCACCAGTATTCAAATAAAATGAATGGATTTATGTTTGCATGTTTCTGTTTATGCGTCTCTAGTGATTTCATTAACGTACCTACGCACATTCTAAACCTATTTTTTCCCCAGTTTGATTAATAACAAGTTTACATTTTTGTGAAATACGTTGTATCCTAAACTTGATAACCAAGCAGTCTTTTACAATCGGCGTACATTCGTAGAGGAAAAATACAATTTCTCTGGATTGTGTCTGGATTTGCAGACCAGTAAAAACATCCTGTTGTTTTTCCAGGGTTTGCTTCTGACAGATTGCTTTCTGGCTGCTGGTCCTCTGAGGTTAAACATTGAAATGCTCCTGCAACCTGTTGGGATCTGGAGATCTGCCACCTGTCTCCAGCAGAGAGCGTCCTGGGTGTCCTGGGCTGGAGCCTCCAGCACACCTGAGGATCATCAGCCCATCAGGAGACCTCCTCCTGTGTTCTCTGCTCACAGGAAAGCCCAACTGAAGTCTGTAGCTCTGGAGGAGCTTGTGCTTGGAAGCCTGCCTGCCCAAGGAAGCCAAACCTGCAGACTATCAGTCTGAATTCCCCAGCTAGTTCTCAAGGGAGGACTAGGAAATCAACTCAAGGTCTGAACCTAGTTAGCCTGAAGCTAGACGCTGCTGCTGCTGAGCTCTCTGCTGAATTCACAGTCTCTGGACCCAACCGGTTCCCTCTCTCCATCGATCAGTCTGAACCTCATCAGGTACAAACCAGAATCAAACCCCTGACAAGTCATCACCGCTGCATGGCTAACCAAACTATCCATCTCTGCAGATTACTCTGTGATTCCAGTCCCGGACCAGTACCAGAACCTGTTCATTCATACTCTTGTGTGTTTCTCTCAAATAAACTGTTAATCTTTTACTCCGTTTCCTGTGGTGTTCTGCATGTGGGTTTAGACTCAGAGACCCATCATAACACAACCATTTCAATGCAGTTTTGTGCAAGTAAGGATTATTGATCAGTGGCTTTTAAATCGTCCACAAATCATTTACCCAAAAAAAAAATGGATGGATGGATGGATGGATGGATGATGAAACCTACATTTTTAAAACTGTATTAAAATAAATAAATATTTGGTTTTTGATTTGTTTTTTGCTTGTTAAAAAACAACCTACGTTTGTTACTGATGGTTAAACCGTTTTTGCTTTTGAAAGCCTTAAACCAACGTTTTGTATAAGTCGTGAGAAAGTAAATTGAAGGGGCAGCTCTGAGATCTTTTATCTCCTTAATCAACAACAGTAATCCTTGTTTTTTCCATTAAAAAAAAAAACAGTCATTTAAAGGGACCAAATCTGATAGATCAGTAACAGTACGGCACGTTCTGGATCCAGGCATTGTTTTCACTCTCCGTCTGTCTGCGTATTCCAACCACTTCTTCTTGCTCCCAGTGTTGGCAGCTGCAGTCCTGTAAACTGTCACAGGGTCTCAGCACAAAGCTATGGTGCTATTAGAGTTGTTCAAATCAGGGCCGACTCAGACCTTAATGGGGCCCTAAGAAAAAATTAAATTTTGGGGCCCTCTATTTTAGCCTATGACATTGACAGCTACAATCAAAAGCAAAATGATGACATCATAAACACACATTCTATAACCTCATTGCTCTCTGCAGAGCTGTTTACGGTCTTCCATTTGTATTATCAGCTACTGTTGCTTGGGGGCCCCTAGTGTCTCAAGGGGGCCCCAAGAAGTCTTTCAATTTGTTTAAGCCTTGGGCTGGCCTTAATTAAAAGTAAACTGAAGGTTTTGCAGCAGATGTTCACACAGACTGGGCTCCTGATCTGCGGAGGACAGGTTCTAACATGCTGAACTCCATCTCTAGTCTAATCACAAAGTTGGATCCTTTTAAATGAAAATCGATCACCGTTATTACCATTTCCAATTCCTATTTCTTTGAATTAGGTCAATCTATAATTGAAATATCTATTAATAAATTAGAATTTATTGAAAAGCAGGTAACATTAATTTCTAATAATTTTATTGTTTGTGATTTGCAGCTAATTTAAACTCCAAAATTCAGTTTTTCAAAAAATAAATAAAATAAGTATTACATATAACCTAAGTGTTCAGTACATATATTCTAGAGTACATGGAAATACTTTTCATTATGAAAACATTTCTTTTTCAGATATTAATTTAAAGATATTTATTATTATTGTGTTTTTTTAGAGAAAATGAATTTTCAGTTTTCATTAGCTGTTGGTTTAAAATGACTAAAAACTGTAAATATTTCCCATTGTGTTAAATCTATAAATGACACAGAATATTTACTTTCTGCATTACGTTAGTACAAAAATATACAAATAAATAACTTCCAATTCTATTTCTTTAATGAAATAAAAAGACACCAACACAAACCTGAAAACAGGCAGAAAAAATTAGAAAAAAAAAGACTTTGCTAACAAAAAAAAAAAGAAACTAAAACAGTCAACATTCTGGTCTATTGAGGTTAGAAAAGTGGCTCTAATATCAGCCTGAGCAAAAACCTCAGAAGTCAGTAAATCTTGGTGTAAAGCTGTTCAACCACTTTGTTCCTATCAAGTTTTTGGTTGTTTTCTTTCTGGTCGGTGCTGCAATCTCCTTCAACTTGTCTGAGGTTTAAAGAGTGTCTTTAGGAGGGTTTAAGGAAAGGTGAGCAAGAACATAAGAGAAACAGGTGATGCCTTTTCCTTCAGGGACATTCCAGAGTTAACGGTTAACGCTGCAGAGAGGAGCTCATATCTTCTGTTTAACCACAATGTGCACAGGGCATCGCTTCATAGTGTTACCTGCTTTTTAAATTACATCATGACAAAAAATGAAATAAGCTAAGATATTACTTCATAAACACACAAAGTGACTGTAGATTATCTGTTTAATTGAAAGCAAACGTGTGTTTTTTAAAAGTTTAGATGAAAAAAACTACTTTGCACCGCTTGTTGAAGTTTCTGATAAATGAAACAAACTTGAAAAAAGATTCTTAGGTTTCTAAAATGTATGAAACTGAAAGACAGTACAGTAAGTTGCCTTCAAAAGCTGAACGTGGATTGGTGCAATGATTAGCCGTTTTAAAATAGTTTCTATGAAAACAGTCTCAGTCATAAGGTGTTATATCTCAGAGTATAACACACTGACAAATTGGAATTTAAAGAAATGCATTTCAATAAATAGTGTTACAATCCCAATAGTAGAATCCATTTTACATTGGGGCTCCAAAGCAGTGCATCTCCTGTTAACGCCCAGTCCTCCTTGATTGGGTAGGAAATCCATCCTGGTAACACCTTCATCAAAAACGCCTCCGACGATCTTCGCCTCTGCCAGATGTTGAGTTTTGACTCAGACTAAGCCAAGAATCCAGCAGAAGGATTTAAACTGTGTGGCCTGATCCACCTTTATATTCTAATGTGGTAAATTCTGCTTAAATTGCCCCTTCTGTCATGTTTGTGCTCAACCTCTTCATGTAATGTGTTGTTTTCATCTGATTAACCCCTTACACATTTCTAGAAAACCTTTACACTTTAAGCAAATAATCACATTATTGACTTTTCCTAAATTTATTCATCAGCAGCTCATTATGGTTGCTGACATTTTTATGACAAATAACAGCCTCCTGTCTTTTAGGCTTTTTGCTCTGTTTGTTAGTAAATTTAGCCTTTCTGTGTATACAGTATTTACCATACCAACATTATGTGACTGGGATTACTGTACATCACCAATAAGTGAAATTAGTCAACAGGCAATTTGTTTCTTTTCTAAAAGAAAAGTCAGATATCAAGTATATTTTTGATTCCGAGAGGGATGAAACTGGAGTTGCTCTGGGAAATCAGTCTAACTGTTGTATTTCACCAAAGCTGGAGCTACAGCTCAGGAAGCATTCTGTAGTCGCTGTGAATACAGACATGTAAGCGCACGACCTAATTAATGGTGCTACTCGGGTTAGCATTGCTTCTTTCCTGCTTTTCCGGCATTTTAGAACGTTCAGATCTAGAGCCTGCTTCATTGGCCACCATCTGACTTTCTGATAGTTCAGCTGCACTGCAGGTAGATGGCACCACCTCTGTTCATGCCAACTCATCGCACCCGGTACTGAGATTCTATTAAGGCTAAAAAAAGATTATCAGAACATTATCAGGACGGACGCTTAGAGTATATAGCTTTATTTTATCATAAGCATTTAGGTCTTTTTGTTAGAGACATTTGAAGTGACTCTGTACCTTTACTAATTGTGGTTTGGTTCATCGTGATAAATAGCAGGGAACCTCTGAACACTTGAATCCTGCATCACAACAGACAACAGGTCTCTGACTTTATGGCGACCCAGTCCATCCAATCCACCACAGACAGCAGTGTGAAGAACAAAGCAAGAAATCTAAGGTTGGTGCATGAGAGAAGTGACAAATATTTCACATCACCAGAGGTGTCAGTAACCCAGTACAAATACTTCCTTACTGTACTTAAGTACACATTTTAGGTATCTATTCTTTACTCCATTAGTTATTTTTCTTCCTACTTCTGACTTCCACTCATTACATTTTCACACAAGTATCTGTGCTTTCTATTCCTTACATTTTCAAAACAACCATTACTCGTTACTCTTGGCTTCGGTTTAATGTTTATAAATATTAATTTCATGTCATCTGCGCCATCCAGTGCAGATCATTGGCGCCATCCAAATTTAGTGAAAACTAGTGTGATTGGATGAGACATATAACGCAAACACTCATTGGTTAGCTAAAGGAAATCATCAGAAGCAAGCAGGTGTTCAAACTGTAAACGTGAATTATCTATGCCATGCTACATACAATGTCGGACACAGGCGAGAGCATATCGGGAGATGTAGACCAACAAGACCTCCTTCTTCTTTGGTCCTATCTCAAAGAATTTTTCAAAATAGTCAAAAATTGAGCTTTCAGTTCATACAGTGGCATCTGGCTGTTTTTTTTTTAAAAGGTTAATTTATACTTTCATACTTTAAGTAGGTTTTAGAGCACATACTTTTTCACTTTTACTCGAGTAAAGAGGTCAAGTTGATACTTAACCTTCTACCAGATTGATTTTAACCTGCAGCATCTTTACTTCTACTGAAGTAACAAATGTGTGAACTTTTGACACCACTGCACATCACACAGTTCTGGTAGCAAAGGAGAAAATTAGTTAAAATCCTGGGCATAGTCTCCTTTTTTCACTGAGCTTCTTAGAATAACGTAAGCATCGCAACTCAGATTACAGCCTCTAAAAGACCAGCAAACCTTCGGGAAACATTAGGAGGCGTTTCTTCAACTCACAATATTTTAAGCAAAAATCTCCCCTTATTTAGTTTGTTTAATTGAATTAGCTTAGCACCTTTGATTTTATATGTTTTGATTTGTCTGTTTTTGTTACTAAATATAAAATTATACTTTGGTTAATTGGTTATAAATTATATATTTAGGCCATTATCTCATTGCTACTTGATATTAAATCAATCTGTCTAAATACCAGGAGCAAAAACCTGGAATTTTGGATTAAAAAGCACAATAATAGAACAAACAATGCACACAAACTCTGAGCTAATGCAGATTATTTTAATACTAAGTATAATACAGAAAGTCAGTTGTAAACAAAAAAAGAACATGTCTTTGTGTCCTTTCTTCATGTCAGGCAGGTGGGAGAAAATGGGGCATGAGGTGGATTAGAAGAAAAATTCTTCATTTTCTGCAGAGGACGGTGACAGTAAGTCCTTTTGACCTTCCTTAGGCGTGATACGGCTCCATACTCTGGAGAATGGAATCAGTGAGGATCTACATTCAGTCAAGATGATCTGCATTAGTCTAAATCATTCTCTGAGAAGAACTCTGACTAATAACTGATAAATTAAAATGGGATGAGGTGCTTAGAGGCGGATTTGAAATGGCGGTAAAAGCAGCGGGTAGCGATGTCCGCATTTGGTCTTGGAGAATGTCAAGGTGAACCTTTGGTCCGTTTTACTGGATCTCTGTGAGCTTTGCTAGACTGGCCCTGCGGAAGGCCTCCCTGTCCCTCATTTCCAACACGCAGTCCCTCACCATCTCCGCAAACATGGACGGCCAGAGCTTGTGTAAAGCCTCCCCCTTTAGATTGGTGTCTGATGCTCTTTTAACCAGCTCCTGGAGGTACTGCTCTATGAAGGCGGCACGCTCAGAGGACTCCACGGTGACTTCCTGTGATGAAATGGGCTAGAAATAAAGATAAAATGGAGCAATTCATTTAAAATTATACACTTCCATAATCAATAGATGTAAAAGTTGCTCAAACTTTTATCCTATTCATCTTTTTATGTGGAGTGAATTCTATTGTGCATCAAAAAGCTGCAAAATTGTTGAATCCGATTATACCATGATTCCACACAGTAAACATCTTATGGAAATTATTTATAATAAAGTAGCTTATTGTGCTTGAATACAGGAACTATTTTTGCAAACCTCGATTTACTTTTATGCTAACCAACCGCTGTTAAGAGAAATAAAATGTTCTAGTTTTCTCTCCTCTTCCCATTCATCAAATGTTTTGCTCCGCCCCAAAATATTAAAATTTACATCAAAATCCATATGAAAGAGCACTTTTTTTGCCAATTAAAGAGACAATGCCTTTGAAGACATTTTTTTGTTCTTTATGTTTTTTCTAGGTCATCTTCTTTTCTGGGTCTAAAACTTCACTTTTTGGGTCAACAAACCTCAGAATCTTTAACCATTACATTGACTGTCTTTACTGTGTCCAAGCTCAACATCAATGGCTCGCTGCGAAACACCTTATTTATGCAGCCCAAAGACAACAGTGTGGAAACCTGGCAGAAAATGCCACTAAATCAAGATTTTTTTTAAAAGATTTGGGTTTAAAAACTTTTGATCATCTTGTTTAGAAGCCCATTTCAGTTTAAGGACTCAAATTTGGCTTCACTCCCAATAATTTTTTCTTTTTATTTAGAAGCTCTATTAAATCTTGGTAAGATCTAAGAGTGCAAAACGTGAATTATTGCCATTTTTCAATTAATCTTTAATCTGTAGGAGTACAGGAAGCCCTACAGCTTCCTTAACCCCTCGCTCAAACCATCTGTCTTCCTTGGCCATAATATGGACGCTGTTGTCCTAAAAAGTATGTCCTTTAGCCTTCAAGTGTAGGTGAAAAGTTGAGTCCTAACGAGTCTGCCCTCCTGTGTTGAGTCATGCGTCATACAAAGACAAGGACGACAGCGTGGTTTATGCCATTCAGTGTAATGAAGCGTGCACAGACCTTTACATTGGAGAGACCAAGCAACCACAGGCGCATGACTTAACACAGTTGGTTTGAGAGAGGGGTTAAGGAAGCCATCTTTGTTAACCTGGAAAAAACATCTTTCAATAGAGGAGGGGATCTTACACATAATCTTTCACCTACTTACAAAGAAATTTTAGGAACAATAACCAGACGATTCACCTCTCAACTGTCCTCATTGACCCACAACCTTCTCCTTTCCCCTTCATTCTTTGTTCCACCTACTGTATAAGCATCTTACTGCTCCCCACCCCTAGAAGCCTCTTCGATGAGAGGAGAAACATCTTCATGTCCAGTTACCTAAACTGCACATTTCAAGCTTGTCCATGGGCCGGATGACTGAGAATCTTCACAGACAGAAAATAATCTTAGGTCAGAAGGTAGAAAAGGGTCGTCTAGAAACCAAATATGCTTTAAAGACCTGTTGAGGGCTTGCCGAAGAAAGAGGAATCCGTGGTCAAGAAACAAGGTCAGAAATCTGGAAGCAGGGAAGAAAACGCTGGATCTCTCCAGATAAATGTGGTTTAAAAATGTGGCAGGAAGAAAGATGTCGAGGAGAGTTTATATGCAGCAGTAACAGTTATTTCTGGAAGCTGGTTTAAAGGGTTAATCTGATTCAAAAGATTGCAGCATAAACTATTAAAAAGGGATCTCTTTTCTTTCCTATTTGTGAGGTTCAAGGTAACTAATCTGAATTTCTCACTTAGTTAGACACTGAATACACCTGAGGTGAAGTGGGCTTTACTCTGCAGCTCAACAAGGTCTTGGTAGGAGACTACATGTTTCCATCTGACATTACGAATAAACTACACAATGTAAAAACCTTTGTTGATGAAAGGACACAAACCTCAGGACTCTCTGCATTACAGTCTCTGCTTGGATAGTTAAAGAGCGCTCTGCTCAGGCCTTCACCCAGCAGCCTTCCATTATCCCTCAGCTCCTCTGGACTCAGCCCTGCTCGCCGGCCGCGCCCCTCCAACAGGAACTGCAGCTGCCTTTTCCTTCAAAGCGGAGACACAAATCCAAGATGAGTCGGCAAGAGTTAGAGGAACCACCAGAAATGTGGAAAAGCAGAGGCAGCAAGTGAGAGAAATAGTTAAATAATCCATCACGGATAAAAGCAACAACAGCTTTAAACATCAAACACATCCAATTATTAGGAAAAATTGGTCATCTAAATACATTTTAATACATTTCAGTCTTAACTCTATTTTTTCAGAGAGCTGCATATAAAGGAAAGGGGTAAAGTACACCAAATGTTTCCATCAGTATTAAATGTGGCGCGATAAAGCTTTGTACCAACATGTTCAGCAGGCCAGTGCCAGGATGCTGAAATTTACAGACCAGGCTGGAGGCAAACATTCCACTTTAGATGAACCGGTGTCTCGATGTCGGCCAAAACTCAGTGTGCAGGACTCAAAAAGAGCTCAAACCGTGCAATGCGTTATTCTGACATAAAAATGGGCCTTTAATGTCAAGCAGACATTCCTAAAGCTGCATTCAGTGCCTTGGAGGAGTATTGAGTAGAAACCTATTTATTTTTGCAAGGATTTTAAGTGAAGAAGGACACATGTTTTATTTTCATTTGTCATTGCTAGGTTTCCAAGCTTGATGATATAGATGAAGCATCTGGTTTAGGGATAGACTGATACATCGACCAGAAGTAATTTAGTGTGATTAATGTAGACTCACCCTAAATTGGTTTTTGCACCCATCAGTTTTCAGCCACCCCTCATGCACATAGCTCACCACCCTGAAATGTGGATATTTCTGCCCGAGATCACAGTTTTTTTTAGTTTAATTTGCGAATAAATTTTAAGTTTTTGTTTAAACTAAGAATTGTGTAACTTTTGTTATTTTGTATATTTCAATAAAAATAAATGGAGGAGGAAAATCAATGATGGATCAAAAAACTGGTCTAAAAGTATGAGGGAATTATTGATACAATCGGTATCGACATCGGCCTTGTATCAGTCAATCTCTAATCTCTAATCTGGTTTTATATACGTATATATATACGTATATATATACATATGTATATATATACGTATATATATACGTATATATGTATATACATATGCATATATATATATACACATGTATATATATATATATATATATACATATACATATATATATATATATATACATATACATATATATATATACATATGTATATATATATATATATATGCACATATGTATATATATATATATATATATACACATATGTGTATATATATATATATATATATATATATATATATATATATACATACATATGTATATATATATATATATACACATATGTATATATATATATATATATATATATATATATATATATATATATATATATATATATATATATATATATATATATATATATACACATATGTATATATATATATATATATACACATATGTATATATTTATATATATATATACACATATGTATATATTTATATATATATATACACATATGTATATATATATATAAATATACATATGTGTATATATATATATATATATATACATATGTGTATATATATATATATATATACACATATGTATATATATATATATATATACACATATATATATATATATATATGAGGGATATGCTTATCATTTCTATATAATATGCTCTAATATAATATCCATAATATGCTTATCATTTCTATATATTACCATACCTATAATTATTTATATAATAAAATGCTGAATATTTGTGAATTCAACAAAACTTCTTCAAAAAGAAAATTTGCAGATAAGTACTGCCTCCTATTAAGAATATTAGTGATATTTTTTTTTCTATAACCAAGTCTGTGTTTGCTTTTATAAAGCCATTACAAAGTCATGTTGTGCGTGACTAGTAGAGCAGACTCTGGATCTGTGAGGATTCCTTTTGTTGACCCAGAGTGACAGGACTCAGGACTTATTTGGTTGGAAGGAATGTACCCACCCTTACCCTGAGACACAAACTAATTCCTCTGGCTCCTCTGCCTCATACTACACACACATACCCAAAAATGTATGCTCCCAGAAGCTTCACACAGGCATGAACGCACATGTACAGAAGCCTACATATGTAAGAGCTGAAACTCATCGAAGAATCCAAACATCCTTGATTCTTCTAAACAAATAGTGCAGTCTGAAACAATCCGGACACTCGGTTCTCACCTGGACTCTTCCAGCAGCAATAGGAGGCGGCAGCGTGGAGTTTCAGTGGCTGCTATGTGACCCAATGTCCCAAACACCCGCTCTGCAGCAATCACATCGTTCATGGTCACCTAAGAGCAACAAAAACAATCACTCATGGTCCATCTCCACCTTTAGCAATCACTGGCCACCACTGAGGCCACCTCCACAAGATAATCTCTTCCCATGCTGACATAACGGGCTCTATGCAAGACTCCACTACTTTCTGAACGTAAAGCAACTCCTTTATTTTTCTGTCTTTCTTTAGCCAGGCACACCTGGATGAATCAGATCATCCAGTAATGAAAGACAGGAAATAAAGCAGCTGCTTTAAGTTCAGGAAGTGGTGGGCTGAACCCTAAACAGCTCCCTAACCACCGATACTTAACTTTTTTTCTTATACCTAACTAGTGTTTTTTGTCAGTGTTATGAAGATGCAGCAAACAGGTGGAACTTACATTTAAATGCATGTGTTCCCTCCGCCATCCGCGACCCTGCACTTAATGCAGACTCGCTGAATGGTTCACTCGCCCTGCCCACTACGGGCTTTGGGACGGCACTTAATGTGGCGGACTCAGGAATAGTGCTTGTGGGCTGGTTTGGGATTAGGCCAAAGGAGCCGTACTAGTGGAGTCGTGCATAGAGTCCATTGACCACCTCTGGAAACAAGCAGTTCCCTTTTAAACCAGAGAGTGGCAGCAGTGAAACAATCAAGTGATATTTTCTAATTAATCTGACATTTTAATTACTTTTATATTAACAGTAAACTCACAACAACAATACAGCAATTCGTTACTTTATGAATACATTAATGTAAAAATGTCAAATACAGAATTTTTGCTGTTTTCAGAATTAGTTGAGCTTTAGGAAAATTTTTGTCTTTATTGATTTAGCTGGAAAACATGGATGCTGTTCTTGTTTATTTTCCTGTTGGTACGATGTAGATTGACTCTAAACTGGTTTTAGCACCTAAAAGCCTGTCTGGCCTGGTTTTCTGCAGCAGAGCAAAAGTTCTGGAGAACCACTGGTCACCCCTGACCCCTACAGGGCAGCTGTTGGGGGGGATAATAGGTCATTTTTAATAAGTCCTAAATGTTAATGTCATGTAATATTCTCGGTTCCAGAGGGATTTTATTAATTAATTTAAAAATGAAAAGAAATAAAGAACTAAAACATTTCATTCTATCTGTACTGAATCCATGAATCCACTTTTAAACTTTTTTGTAGCTGTAGCTGAGGTTTTCTGAAGTGAAATACATCCTCACCTCCAGGCCATTGATCTTCTGAAGGTTGAAGTGGTGGAGTCGATAGACCACAAATGAGCGCCACAAACTAAGGCTGACCACGGGGTTGCCTTCTGGATGAATGGTCAGTTGGTCCAGACGCCTCACCTGAGCCAGAGCAGCAAGCTGGGGGAGACGGCTGATGTTGGTCTCCAGGAATATCAGGTGCTAGACAGAAAAAGTTTTAGTTTAGTTCTTTTATAATTAGCTAAAAATACCAAAGAAAATAAAGGATAAAACTTTGCCTTAGGCTACAAATTGGAAATGTATAGCCAATGTTTTTAAATATTTAATACTTTTGACAAAAGTTTAATAAATGTGTTGTTTTTATTCAAAAAGACCCATAATCTAATTACGAAAAGACAAAGAGAGAAAGTCCGCCTCCTGTATAGCTCGTGGCCTCACCGATAGATTGGGGAACTTGACTCTAATCCTCGGCAGTGTGGGAACGATGGCGTCGAAGTTAATGAAGCGGAAGGCGATGACGGTGACGGCACCAGCAGTCTGAACACCCCAGCCCCTCTCCAGGGCCTCCAGGGCTCCAAGTCCAAATAAACGCAGGGTGTCTCCATCAAGCTCTGCCAGGTGACTGTCAGACAACGACAAGCTCTGAACGCTGCCACTCCCTGTCTCCACAAGTCTGGGAAGAAAAAAACAAAAACAACATGAAAACAACCGATTTGAAACTTAAATGTGTTGAAAGCAGAATAAATTGTTGGCTCGGGACGTTTGACAGCCAATCTTTAAAGGAACAGTGTTGTGGATACAGCTGGTAGTGAAGGGGGAGTCAGCGTCCTGTTTTGGTTAATAGCTGCTTTCTGCTCACATACACATCAGCTGTCCGTTTCCTGAGCAGAAAGCCTTGAGAGAACAGAGGAGACTTGAGCAGATGTGTGATCAGTTCATACTCAGCAGCTTTTTTTTTTAGCTACTGATAATCGGGGGAGTTTTCTCCATGCAGGGTATCATAGGGTATAACTGATTACTCTCAGTTCAGGCAGCTAACAAACTAATTACACGTTGCCATATTCCACATAAGGGCTCTGTGAGCGAGAGCTGAAGTGGACAGACTAATCTTTAGATTAGAGCTAGATCAGAGGCTGATGTTGTGACTAAGGTTTAGAGGGCTAATTTCTTAAAAATCATTAACCCCTAGAACCCTACGGACCCACCGGTGGGTCCAGCTGCCACGTGACCTCGTAATTTTAACAAACCCCCAGTATTGATGTAAAAAACACATTTGGCACAGTTTGGTGACATTTATGGATAAATGTGCCAAAATGGCCTCTCCGCCTAAGAAATTTCTCACTAATACTATTATAAAATAAATATGATTCATCTGATTGAGTCCAAATTTGGTATATTTTTACACAACATTTAGATTTAAAAGTCTGTACTACTTTTTTGTAGCCTGACGTCGTCCTACTCAATTCTAGTCAGAATGAGTCTGATGCTGCTCCATAGAGCTGTGATTATGGGGCGTGTTTCGAACGAACCAGGAAAAAAAAATGCCTCTGCACTCAATTGGATAGACCTACAACCAATAAGAGCGACGGAGTGCGTGACGTATGTTAAGCCACGCATAGTTGTTGTCAACAAAAATCAAAGCGTGCAGTTGCACGCCTAGAATCGGTCTGCGCCAGGTGACGTCAATGTTTACCTCGGGCGCGGTGCATCGTGGGAAAACCACCATATTAGGTGGAAAGTCGAGATAACCCACACGCGGCTGTTCTTTCGGCACAATTATTTACCAGAAATGACACGATCGTGTTGTGTGAGAGGCTGCCAGTACCGGTGTCGTGCCAAGGTAGTTATCCCTGCGAAAATTTGTATCCCCTCGTCGGGAGTGCGCACGGAGTAGGAAGAACAACCCGACTTAACTCCGCTTCAATTCCAACGTGCAGAACTTGAAATGTGAAAGGTTTTACGTGTATGAAAGTGGAGCTTTACTGTTTTATTCTTTACTTCACATGTTATAGCAGAATATCGCCAGTGATATTGATTTAAAACTAATTATAAAACACAAACGTTTGCTTGAAAGCTGGTCGCTGACAGCAGTGTCTACTCCCCCCTCTGAAAGCAAACAGATCCTTGTTCTTTTCCTCACGTTCCTTAAAAAATCTCTCATTGTTTCACAGTGTCCAAATGTTCTCATCCCATTGCAAACTGTTGTAAACCATATACTTGTAATAAAAATGAAATAGAAAATGGAGTGCACGTGTAATCATTAAAGACTATATGCAGAAGAAAAATTTTTTCCTGGTTGAAATTTAGTACTTAAATCTATATTTGTGTTTATAGTAACGTACAATTTATCTATGTTGTACTATCCTTAATAAACAGTTTGTCTTCTAACATCAGCCGTTTTATTTCATCCCATATTGTCAGAACTGGCAGTGTGGGATGAAATAAAACCTGCTGTAATCTGTTCCCCCTGTCTAAATCAGTGTTACGGTCACTGACCTCTAGGAGCTCTCTTCATTAGAGAGCTCTCTGTTTGTGTTTCAGGTCTCCCTGGCTGTTACAGGTGCAATGCGTTGAAGCTCGTCAGCCACCTCATAAAGAGCTTCAATCCTGAGATGTCAGGCCCCCTTCTCTTATTCACTGGGCCTTGATCTGAAGTGATCTTGTTCATGAGCTGAATGTCTCTGTGTGTTCATGTTGAACAATTGATTGACTAAAGTTTTGTTTTATAAGTAAGGGGGGGGTTTTGTTTGTTGTTTTGGCCTTGGAGACCCTGAGGCTTTAAGCTTCCCTGTTTTGCTGTTTGTTTTTTTTGTGACCCCTGCAAATTGTAAATAAATCATATTTTCCTGCTGACATCATCTTTTAGTTTACTGACTTTTGTGTTACACCCAGTGCCAGAATTTACCCTTTAGTGTTCTTAAGGGTGGGGGTTGTAACATAAGTGGGGGCTTGTCCGGGATTTGATTTACTTTTTGAACATGGCACAGTTTAGTTTGGAGGAGTTTTTGGGTAACCCTACCATACAATATTTTGATGTCTGTAGAAAAGATGATTTATATGAAATTGCTTCACATTTTGGTATCCGTGTCTCTAAGTCTTTGCTTAAACGTGAACTGAAATCTCTTGTCTTCAGTGGCTTGGTTGAGAAAGGAGTACTTCCAGTGAGAATGGATAAGGAGGAGGCCAGCTCTTCTGAAACTGCTGAACAGTTTGAGGTTTGTGCTGAGGAGGGAGTGAAGACACCTCCTGTTGCTGCCAAGCCAGAGTTGGAAAAACCACCAGCCTCTCTCCCACGGTTTGAGCCTTTCTCTATGGAGTCCCCAAATCCTAGTGTTGAGGCACGTCTAAAGGTACGTCTGGTGCGGCTAGAACTTGAAGCTAAGGAAAGGGAACGGAAGGATGAATTTGAGTTCCAGCTTAAGTGCAGAAGAATTGAAGCTGAAACTGCCATAAAAATGCGTCAGCTGGAGCTACAGTCTCATAAACTGACCACTGTACTCACTACGGATTCTGGTGGGGATGAAGATGACGGCGTTCTTTCCCCAGATAAACCTTCTTCCCCTTCATCACCTTTCACGTTTGACATCAGCAAAAATATTGCCCTGGTCCCACCATTCCGGGAGACGGAGGTGGAGGCATATTTTAATGCGTTTGAACGTATTGCTGTTGGCCTTCATTGGCCCACAGAAGTTTGGTCCCTTTTGTTGCAGTGCAAACTCAGTGGTAAGGCACAGGAAGTATGTGCAGCACTAACAATTGAAGACAGTCTTGTGTATGACAAAGTTAAAGCTGCCATACTCAGGGCATATGAGCTGGTGCCTGAGGCATACAGGCAGCGTTTCAGATCCTTAAGAAAATCCAGTGCACAAACATTTGTTGAATTTGCAAGGGAGAAGGGAATGTTATTTGACAGATGGTGCCAGGCAACTAAAGTTACTGATTTTTCTTCACTACGTGAGTTGATATTGTTGGAAGAGTACAAAAACTGCCTTCCAGATCGCACAGTTTTGTACTTAAATGAACAGAAAGCCTCAACCTTACAAGAGGCAGCTGTCCTGGCTGAAGAATTTGCCCTTACTCACAAAAATGTTTTTGTTTTTAAACCTGACCAACCCTCTCGTGACAAGACGTGGAAGGATGTACCACAATCTAGGGTTAAGAACTCTTCAATTTCCAAATCGGAGAGACAGTGTTTTTATTGTCATAAAATGGGGCATATTGTTTCTGATTGTTTGGCCCTGAAACGTAAGCAGGCACCCCAACCAGCTAAAGGGGTTAGACTGGTTAAGACTCTGAGGACCACCCCACAACTGTCAAACATGAGTGAACCTGATGATTGTTTTAAACCCTTCATTTTTGATGGTCTTGTCTCCCTAACAGGACGTTCTGAGGATGAGAAACCGGTGAGGATACTGAGGGACACTGGTGGTTCCCAGTCATTTCTCCTGTCCAGCTTTCTGCCATTCAATGCTGATACCTCCTGTAATGCAAGTACAATAGTACAAGGAATTGGAATGGCCTACGTGCCGGCACCTTTGCATCATGTTTACCTAAAGTCCAAGTTGGCCTCTGGATTTTTCAAGGTTGCGGTGAGAGATTCATTTCCTGTTCGGGGGGTTGAATTTATAATGGGGAATGATCTTGCTGGAGAACAGGTACTACCTATCCCTGAGGTGGTGGATACTCCCAGTTGCATAATGGGTGAAGATGACATGTTGGAATCCCTTCCTGATGTGTTTGCTGCCAGTGCTCTTACCAGGTCCCAAGCTCGTAAGCTGGAGGAAGTGAACTTGGATGACTCTGTTCTGGGCTCGGCCTTGATGGAGGATAAGCTGCCAGCAGATGACCATTCAAACTCAGTACTCCGAGAGGACTTCACTCCAAACTCTGAGGTTTTTCTCCCACTACCAATGTCACGTGAGGTTTTGAGCCAAACTCAGAAGAGTGATAAAACACTCACTAAGTGCTTTGAGAATGTGACTAATTCAATAAAGGACAAGACCCATATGTTTTTTGTTGAAGATGGATTACTTATGAGAAAATGGATCTCTAGGCCTGCCTTGCAACAGAAGGGTATTGAGGAGGATTGGGGAGTAGTTTATCAAATTGTTATTCCTCAAGGTTATCGTGAACAAATACTGCGGTTGGCACATGACCACTCATGGTCAGGTCATTTGGGAATCACTAAGACCCATGACCGTATTCTACAGCATTTCTTTTGGCCAGGTCTGAAAAAGGATATTGCCAGGTTCTGTAGAACATGTAGAGTTTGCCAAATAGTGGGTAAACCTAATCAGAGGGTACCACCTGTCCCTCTTAAGCCAATTCCTGCAGTTGGTGAGCCTTTTGAGCGTGTCCTGGTGGACTGTGTGGGTCCTCTGCCCAAAACTAAAACTGGTAGTCAGTTTCTCTTGACTATCATGTGTGTTGCCACTCGCTTCCCTGAAGCCATTCCACTAAGAAAAATTACGGCGCCCACTATATAACTAAAGCTCTTCTGAAGTTTTTTGCAACTTTTGGTCTGCCTAGAGTTATACAAACGGATCAAGGCAGCAATTTTCAGTCCAAACTCTTCAAGCAGACACTACAGTCTTTTGGCATTAAACACATTCCCTCCAGTCCTTACCATCCCCAGTCACAAGGCGCTCTAGAAAGATGGCATCAGACTATAAA